CCATGGCAATCCCACAATTAAACCACGTGCCGCTCTCCCTTCGAGCTCCGCGGCCGGTCGCGGCCTCCGCTCGAGCGGCGGCGACTGGAGCGATCCCCCTCAGCATCGCCGCCCCAACTTCTCCTTCCCCTTCTCTGAAGAAGAAGGTCCTTGCCTACCTTCTTGCTTCTCTGCGCAATTCTTCTCTTTCCATGGAAACCCTAACCCTGTAAGCTTATGTTCTTCTTCTTCTTGGTGGCGAAAGGTTCTTGTTCCCATCGGGATGGGCACGGAGGAGATGGAAGCCGTCATACTTGTGGACGTTCTCCGTCGAGCCGGCGCCGATGTTCTCATGGCTTCTGTCGAGACGGATCTTGTGGTGGAGGCCTCCTCGGGTACCAAGCTGGTGGCAGATGTTGGCATCGATGCGTGTGCCGATGAGGTGTTCGATCTTGTGGCGCTGCCGGTTAGTATGATGTCGGTATCTTATGGCTTCTTGATCATACGATTATTTGAAACTGGGACAAGGGTTGTTGTTCCAATATTTATTTCCTCTAAACTTTGAACTCAATGAGTATGATAGTAACCATTGGGATCTTTTTCTTCTCTCCAACTAACAACGAAAAGTTTAAGCATCATATACAGGTAAGTTTAACTCCAAAAGTTCCGACCTTGCTATCCTTAGATATTGATAACACTTGTAATTTCAGAATATTTGGTCTTGAAAAATAAAAAAGAATTAGAGTATCAAGATTCGAGGAGGAAAAAAAGACAATGTCATCTATCTTTAGTTCCTAATCCTAGGTGAAACTGCATGAGAGATTTGAGTCTTCTCGAAACCTTTATGTTTGTAAACCGATATACCTTAGGTTTGTCTTGTTCATGTATGAGAACTTCTAGAACCTATTATAAAGTAATAACATTGAGATGACTCGACTACTATTGTGAAGTTTCACTTGTATGTGCGTTTGAAAGAGATTTTGGTAAAAAGTGCAGCCCATTGCACACGTCTCCATTCAATGTAGGGATCTAGCGAGTGTCGATATACATAACTGTACATTTACAATCAGAGTAGCTGCTTTTATGTCCTTAATCCTAGTCACCTAGGCGGTGAAGGAGCAACCTCATTGTGGCACCAAGGTTTGCCCTACACAAAGAATGGTTCTAAAGGCTTATGTATTCTTGTATCCATTAAATTAGGAGCATTGTTAAACAAACACATTTTTCTCATAGAATACATTGATCCTATACTAATAACGATCTTAGAATAGTTCAAAATTTTGATTTTGAACTTTTTATGGGCATACAGAATCTTCTGCTTGCTATTGTTAATCATCCAAAAATGTCTAAACATAATTTATTAGTTATTAAGCAAAAGTTAAACTTATCATTTGAGATAATCTTAAATACAGATGTAAAATTAATATGATCACATTATCGGTTCTATTTTTATATAAAATGTATAATTACATCAACCTGAAGTCCCACTGCAATGAATTTTCAGGGAGGAATGCCAGGTTCTGTGCGCTTAAGAGATTGTGAGGTTCTTCGAAAGATTACAATCAAACAAGCAGAGGAGAAAAGGTTATATGGTGCCATATGTGCTGCTCCTGCTGTTACTCTGATGCCCTGGGGTCTACATAAAAGAAAGCAGGTAAAACTTTAGAATGTTTAACATCATAAAATTATAAGAATGGCAGGTCTGTAATAGATGCCGATTTGAATTGCAAGATAACTTGCCATCCAGCCTTCATGGATAAGCTGCCTACCTTCCGGGCAGTGAAATCTAATATCCAAGTCTCTGGGGAGCTCACAACCAGTCGTGGCCCTGGCACAACTTTTGAGTTTGCTCTATCATTTGTTGAACAGCTCTTTGGTGGTGATGTGGCAGAAGATATAGGAAGAAAACTGGTAAGATGTTTGTCAGATCGCCTTGACTTCTCTTGTTTTAAGTTGCATTTTCTCGCCTAGCTAGACTTTAGTACTGGGCTTTGGATATTGCTCAGTCAGTTAGGCTATACGACACTTCTTTTAATGTGGGAGTGCTTTTGAAGCCTTCATACGAGTAAGGGATTGCTCAGTCAGTCAGATTATGAGATGCTTCTTTTCATGTGGGAGTGTACCTTGAAGCCTTCATATGAACTAGGGATCTTTCTATTTTGTGTTGCATTTTCGCACTTTATTGAGTTATTTTATGTAACATTTTATATGGAGTGATAAGAGCAATTAATGATATTGTATATGCTCTTGAACATTAGGTTTTTTTTATGCTTGATGATCAATTTATTTGTTCTTGCATATTTTGCATTTTATTCCTGGCATGTCGATGCTTCTTACCCTTGCATGTGCAGCTGGTCCCAGCACATGGATGCTGTCAGAGAAAGGAAGAACACAACAAAGTTGAATGGTTCTTTGATCAAACCCCTGATGTAAGTAGTTATTATGTTCTCATCATGTCTCCCTCTGCACTTTTATTTTTTTTGTTTCTTTTCTTGACATCACAGCTATGTACTCCTTGATGATTGCTTATGTTATCTTTATATGAGGTTGCTGAGAAGTGGATACTGGCAATTCCTCTGATGATAGATCCAAGATATCTATAATTTTGACTTTCAGGAACATTTTTTCTGTCTAACTATATTTTCAATTCTTCTCTTAACATCACTAAGGTTCCACTTCATACATTCAGTTTTAGTCTTGATCTTAGATTCGTAGTTCTTAGTTTTTAACATTTGTCCCTATTGCTTAATTTTAGATCAATCCGAACTTAACTTTTATCAAGTTGAACAATATCATTGGCAAATAACATATATCATAATCATAGAAGTTTATCTTGAAAGTTCATAAACTTAGTCTTAGTCCAAGTTACTCTAAATTTTAGCTACAACTAAAAATGATTGTAATATGTTAATATCTAGTCACAGAGAATGTTTAGATGAATAAAATTAGTCTGTCATGTTTGTGAATAGGGGCAACTGTATGGCGGTGTAGACACAGGAAGTGTTGTTAAAGATGCTTCTTACATGTATGGGATGCCTTGTGGCACGTAGATTGATTTGCACCACAAGAAGTCACCATGTTATCACTTGTCTGATTCATATGGAATCTTGGTTTTTACTATAAGGCTTGGTTCAATTTGCAAAATACTGATCATCGGTTGGTCTTTTCAAGGTTTCGCTCATAAAGGAGCCAAGCTTGATCAAGGCTTCATTTCTTCATGATTTAGTTTTTAAGCTCAAACTTGGTTAAGTTCTCCTTTTATGAGCCTGAACATTTGAGTATATTATTTGCTGTGATGATCTTCATCATGATCCGTAAATATATTTTATCACAACTGATATAGACCATCACATAAAATGTTTGCATTCTATGCAGCCATTTTATCATAACTGATACAGGCCATCATGTAAAATGTTTTCATGCTATGGTCATTTTATCTCAACTGATATAGGCCATCGTGTAAAATGTTTTCATGCCACACAGTCACTTGGCATTATTGTACCTTAGGTTCTATCCTGACGCATACAAGGCCGAGCCAGCCATAAGTATATTCAGATTTCACCTTGAATCAGGCTTATGCATTTCTACTCAACTTCATTGTGAGCAATGATATATCATGAGCTATCATATATCATGCCTTTAGTACACATTGGCTGAATTAATTAATCATGGTTTCTATGTCACCAACTTTCTTGATATTATGACATGTAGTGAAAGACTAGACTGTGTTGATTGCAGGATATTTTAGATGTGGTGTGAATATTTTTGGGCCTCATTGGTGTTTGATGATCTTTTTTTGTTTTTTCCTTTCTATTTTCCTTTCTCTTCCTAGTGTAAGCGTCATAGATTAAACTGTCATTATATTCATCGTTCAAAGATGTTCAACTAGCATGTCATCCCTTTTCTTTTGTTAAGTACAGAATAACATATGTTATGGAATGCTGTCACTATGAGTGTTGCTTTGTGCCAATGCAAACCACATTTGATTTAGAAATAGTAAAATTCATTTGTACCAATCTTTACCATATAGGTTCTTGTTCCAATTGCTAATGGCTCCGAAGAGATGGAAGTGGTAATGCTGGTGGATATCTTGAGGCGAGCCAAGGTGAATGTTGTGGTTGCTTCAATTGAAAAGACGAAACAGATAATAGCATCCCAAAAGACAAAGATAATTGCAGACACGTCTATCATGGATGCTTCTAAGTCGACATATGATCTGATCATTCTTCCTGTAAGTTAAAGGTTACTTTATGCTGTGCCCTGAAATTCTTGGATCATTATGAATTATTCTTGCAACTTGTGGAGCCACCTTAGCATACTGTTTATACTGGATTTCAACTTCATATGATATTCGCCTGTAATTACTCATAGTTAAAAAAAATTATGGTTGACATGTGGACAAGCTAAAACAAACGGGAGCCCAAATATATTACACACATGTAAAATCATTGCATCTTTTATTTTATCAAGTTGGTGTTGTTAGATAACTTAGTGTTCAATGAATTCATATATAATCTGACTAGAGATAGGTCACTTGAGTGAAGTGGCTATCTAGTTTAGTCATGGAAATTGCTTCTGACTTCAAAAAGGGGGCAAATGAATAAGTTAATATGTCTTACCATATTTGCCTCAACAAACACATGCGCAAAAAAACAAAGGTGACGATAGTTGTTTTGACTACTGATCTTGTTCATGAGTGTGAATAGAGCAGAGGGCTGCAGGTGGGGAATAAACTAGGGTTGGATCCGACCCCAACATTGAACTTGTGTGGGTTTGGCATTGGCTTTGGCTTGGTTAAAATAAAAAGAGCCGACCTGTCTGAATTTGGATTGAGAACAGGTTAAGGGACGGGCAATCTAAGCGAACTGACCCAAGCCAATTGTCTGGTTTATAACTTTAACTTTCAGTCATATTTTCTTGATTTTTCAGAAGTAAAGGTGCTATACCTATGATAATTCTTTGGTACATGAAATGTTTCTCATGATAAAAATTCTTAAGAGGCTTATATTTATAAAAAGCACAGGGAGGAACTGCTGGAGTTGAGAGGCTGCAGAAATCTAGAATTCTGAAGAAATTACTTCGAGAACAAATGGAAGCAGGAAGAGGATATGGTGGGATATGCTCGTCTCCAACTATATTGCACAAGCATGGCTTGCTCAAGGTGATATTTTTTGGGTTAGAAAATATGTTCTCTAAATTTTAGAGTTAAATTCACCTGATTGTTTATGCTAAACAGGATAAAATAGCGACAGCTCATCCCGCTTCTATCGGGAAGCTGACCGGCCAAGTCGCTGAGGGAGTTGGAGTTGTAATTGATGGGAAGACCATCACTAGCAGAGGCCTTGGGACCGTGATGGATTTCTCCTTAGCTATTTTAGACAAGATATATGGACATGCACGGGCAAGAAGTGTGGCAGAAGGGATTGTTTTTGAGTACCCAAAAAAAACCTGAGCAAGACTTGTTAAAAGTTCATAATCAGAAGAATCCAGCATAAGCAGAATAAGGGAATACTATTTCAGATTTCGTTTGCGACCTCAAGGAATCTGCAGCTAACAAATGCTACGGTGGGGCTCAGAGTTGACAAACCTTGGAGAATCTGGTTATCCATTCTCTATCAATGGAATCAGAGGGATTGGTCTGGTTATCCCTTGTGGCCCACATAAAAGTTTTCATATGCTCTTTTGGTCTTTACCATCTCCACCGATACGACGATCGTTACACACGGTTCTGCATTTCAAGATTTACATTCCTATGGTCATGCAGATTCTGGAACAGTTTAATTGTCATGGTCAGTTCAATTTCAAGAAATGTGGTTTATAGACTAGATTGGACTGATTCGAATGTCCATTTATGGATAAAGAGGTGGCAGTGGAGAATTGTTGCTGGTCAAGTGTTGTAATGTAATTCGGCAGGAGAAGGAAAATTTGTTTGTAGAGAGAGATGTGACGCAGGAGAGAAGGAAACTTTGTTTGTAGATACAGTGTCGAGATCTTATTATTTGTCATTACAAAGACTGGTGCGAGAGAAAGTAGCATTTTGTATCAAGCGGACAACTCGACGATACATTGCTTTCTGGGCTTTGATGCTTAACTAATATTAACAAATATGCTTAATCATTTGGACACGTCAATTGATGACTTTTGATGTCGAAGTTACAAGAGATGGTTATAACATCCGATGATTTTATGCATAATTTATGATTGAATAATGATCAATGGTTTCTCAATTATGGATTAACTCATCACTTCAACCAAGTTCACTATACAAAACTATAGTAAGTCCTATGATCTTAGAACATTACTTGTTCATATTCTTGAATCCTTTGAACCATCACCAACTTATGGGTTTCCTCTAGCAGTCATCGCTTGCTTTCTATGAATGTTGCATCGCCAATAGGCTCACCAACTGTGACTCCTCCAATTGAGCTTGTAGTCATCTCCCCCATATGTCAATCAGCCTCACCCAATTTATTCTAGAGCACGTCTCGCTCCCTCAAAATTATTGACATGGCAGTCAAAGAATTAGGGGCTCGATTGAACACCACAATCATGATGTGATGCCCCTGTAACCAAAGGAACATACGTTAATAAAGGTCAAACAAATACTAGATGTGATACACTTCGGAACAGAAGCACTTCTCATGACCGTGTTTGCTTGTGGGCTTTACCTAATAATGACTTGGTGTTCTAAGCATAGAACAAGGTCAGAAAGGGAAATCTAAGCACGAGGCGCTATCTATCGGGTGCCTCCTCGATGGCGGCATGGGTGCATTAGGCAATCCGGACGCTTCCCCTAGAAGAGGTGGGGGAAGCTTGATTTGTTGCTGCTCGAGAGCTATAGAGCTGCTCCTCACCTTCCTCTAATGGGTGTGCGGTTGGTCCATCAGACACTTGCCATGGACTGCTGGCGTCATGGCCTGCCTCTTCACCTCATGCATGGAGGGGTGGCCAATCCAAGGTTGCATGGAAACTCTCGATTGTTTTCTTGATTGCTTCCTCTATTGTTTGTTCTCCCTCTATAGTCTAAGAAGATTCACCAACCTTCTTCTTGCCTTTTCTTTTGTGAAAGACACAAGAGAAGCTTCCAGCAAGATCCATGCTTGAGGCTAAGTTAAAAATAAAAGAAAAGTGACATGACAATCATAAATTAACTTTTAATGATTGATCGTCGAGCTTACAATTTGATTGAATATCAACATAGAGCATTTTGATCACATCAAGCAATAATCATGAAACATCATAAACTAAATTAAATTGGATTATGCATAATGCAAACAATAACAATTACGCTTGCAAGAAACTAAAATGATAAATGACATATCTGCCTTGTCCACCACGCAAGCTAATACCCCAAGTCGTGAAATATCTGTGTCGATAATGATATAGTCAAATCTAGCAATAAAGCATGATCCAACGACATGATAAAAGTTGACCAAGAAGAGTTTCTTGACAATAACGTGGTCAAATCCAACTATAAAATATCATCATCCGATAATGATAGTATAATATGCTTACTAAGTATCTCTGATACGGTCGAATCCAATCACGAAGAATCATTAGATTATATAGATGATAAAGCAGGCAAATATGACCATAAAGCACGTTATTCAAATACTATGCATTTGGGCAACAAAGTATTTTATTAGTAATTTTTTATTCAAAGCCTCCTTTTGTTTTTGGTAACAATAAGAAATGGCCATCACAGAATGAAAAACGCTCGAATTCGTTCCGCCATTGTAGAAGTCACCATCTTCCTCCTTTCTGAGGACATTCATGGGTAAGTGCATGTCCCTTCCGCTGCAAAACGAAATATATACGATTATTAGTAGCACATTGCAAATTACTACCATTCAAGAAGCGTTAGCTTAAATAATTGTAGAGAGAATTGCATGATGTTTGTTTGCAACTCACAAGGATCTGTAAAGGTTATCAACGCATCACCACCAAAGTCACAAGCTGAACCCTTGGATTCATGGGCTTTGAAGTAAAGATTGAAGACCACGGAAGCATGATTGCTCAACTGGTTCGGTTCATAACAAGATCCACCTTCTTCGATGGAGCTACAATTCACCTTGGTGCACAGGTCCTTGATATCCGCCGCTAATCTATCGCTTTTTGCAAGGGGATTTGCTATGCACCAGATCGTTGGCTATAGTACGATGAAACGATGGATTACAAATATATATATATCGTGTTGAATGATTCTAAATGTTCGACAAAAGCTACAAAGACAATCCAAGATAAGAATTGAAAGGAGGATTTGACTTACGAGATTGCGATCGACTCCCACAAATCTCGACTCTTGTGGGTATAAAAAAGAAAAAGAAAATATTTTAGATACAAATTTTAGTTGATAATTCATAAGAGACGATCGATTCTTTATATATATATATATATATATATATATATATATAACAATATGTATATAATGGTAGATGGTGAAACAAAAAGCAAGTGATGATGAATATACCTATGTGGAAAATAGAGCTCATAACAATGATCAAGACCAGGAAATAAAAGCATCCTTTTGACATTTTCATCTTTGGAGTCTTCCCCTACACAAATCTGATATCAAACCCACAAATTTCGTGGTTTTATAGAGTTGCTTTTCGGGAATTAAGACTTAATTACTCTCGATTCTTTCTCTTGCTAACAATGATTCGCTTCATGTATAATGTGCTTTTTTATGGGTTGCTTAGATTTATGGAATCCACCGTAATGTTATTTACATATCTGGTTCAAGATTGAATTGATTATTCTGATTGAGCAACTATATTTTGATCCAAAATAGTTATAATATTAACTAAGTTTTGTAGCATTGAAGGTGAAATATATTTGAACTCCCAAATCAAGTGTAACCATAGAAAGAAAGGGACGAAAATTTGTGTTCTGAATTCAATGACTTTTAAATCAAATCAAGAAGAAATTGGCAACAATTCCAACTTTTCAAAGCTTACCAATGCGTGAATACACCGTTTAATGGTTGGCTTTCTATCTAATCATTGTGATGTGAATGGTGTAGTAGTCGATTATTCGACATTCCTTACTCCCTTTTGTTAAGAAAATATTCTTGTGTGATAGAGATGGGAAGATAAGGAGCTGTTGTAGCTGTGATAGAAAACAGGGCACTAAAAGTGGAGATGTGACAACGACATGATGTCACGAGCGATCGTCACGCACTCGTAACAAATTCGTTCAACGAATTGTTCGTCACTTTTACATGCTTGAACAGAGACATGACAGATAGCTAATTTTGCCTTGATTTTGTGTGATTTTATTTGTAAAAAAATACATATTCGAACAGGTTGTAGTGCACAGTGCGATTACTCACCGTGCCAGGCCAAAAAGGCCCAAATGGCTCCGTTTTCGTGTGTCACAGGCTATTTTCTGTAACACGCTGTAGTATACGAAATGTCAGCCATCTCAACACCCTGGAACCCCTCGGGTGGCACAGGGCTAGATGGGGCTTCGGTATATAGTCGGGTGTTGAACAATCTTCACAAGTTCGCACATTTTCTTGACGGAAACTTGTCTTCACGCCTGACACCTGGTGAGCAGTTGTTTATAGACTTGCAGCTGTTCGTTCAACTATCTAAAGTCCTTATTTTCCTCATTTCTCTGCTTTCTCTCATGCACGCAAGGTGCTCGTTGAATTACCTTTAAAGCTTCCCTCTTCGCAAGACGTCAGGATTTGTCCGTCACTCATTCTTTGAACTAATCAACTTTTTCTTTTACAAGTCCTTTGGGACCTAAGTGAGGTTGTAAATTGACTGACCTTTGCGAACGCACATCGTAAGGGTGCATCAAGACTTAGGTAATCTCAGCTAAGTCCGAGAAGTTGACGCAAGGGTGCATTGCGACTTAGGCTACTCAAGCTAAGTTTATGTTTTAGCCACAATAGTACCTTACGACTTAGGCAATTCTATCTAAGTCCGTGACATTCCTTACTCCGTTTTATTACGAAAATATTCTTATGTAATAGAGATAGGAAGATTAGGAGGAGATGTTGCAGCTGTGACAGAAACAGGGCACTAAAAGTGGAGATGTTGCAACGACATGCGGTGGAGCCGATGGGATGTCACGATGCTTTAGGACACTTATCCTATCCTTTTCGTTGATTTCGGGTCACCATGTTGCATGCATTGTTGTCGCTCCACCTATGCAAAGTCTCCTCCCTTTTGCCACCTCAAATGCTTATATCTCGCATCTCGTTCGAGTCCGAGAGAGAAAACACTCATATCTGGTATCGCATTTCCCACTTGTAGAAAATTTTTGTTTCCCATGTATTGCTTACTCAGTGTCACAAAATATTGCATCGTGATGTATTCCTTCGATAATTAATTTAGTTTTGTCGAGAAGCTCATTGTTATTGATAACCTTTTTTTTCTATTATAAAAAATTCCTTATAAAAATAATAAAATATAATTTTATTATTTACAACCTCTCAATTATCAATCGTATCCTTATTTTCATAACTTCTAATTTTATCAGTCGAAATCCTAGTCATTTTAACGTTACTCGTCGTACTTTGATGCCACTTGACATTGTAGTTCATATCATGATATCGTTCGTCACTCAATACTTGATGCTACTCGACGAAGAAGAAAACATCACTCGATACATAGAAAAACGTGCTCGACACTTATCGATCATCACTAGGCATCACTCATCGTTTATCATTGGATGTCACTAGTCATCAATGACCCTTGAATGTCGCTCGTGACTCTCACCACTTGTTGTTATTGGACGTCATTCGTCGCTCGAAGAGAAGAACAAGAATGAAAAAAAAAAATATTTAGATCTATTTACATAGAGATATCTTTGTAACATTAAAAATTTTAAAATAAGATAATAATAATAATAATAAATTATCAATAAAAACCTTCTTTATTGGAAAAAAAATCTCATAAACCGTTTTAAGAGCTCATATTTGGTTCAATGAATTTGGAATAAAGACATATTTAAGAAAACTCCGCGTATGGAGTCCGATCGATCATATTAAACGAATAGAATAAATCATAACCTCACTCGAAGTTGTAGGTGGGAACACATCCATTCAAGAGATTCAAAAGTCGGGTGTTTGTCCTCATGCAAATGCTAGGAAGTTGACGACGGAGTCGTGAATTGCAAAGTCAAAAGTGGGCACACGGAGACCGAGACCGTGAATCCTCCTCAAGTGGGACACTTAAATAAAACATAGGCAGTGGTCCGAAGGAGTAAGTGATGATCTCGAATCGTAAAGGAGTTGATCCTTTGATTCCAAAGCCACCCACCGTGTCTCGTGGAACGAGGACGACACGATGAACCCCATGCGATTTTTGGAGGATGCCGTGGCGACAAGCTTTTGACATCCAAAAGCGTTCCCATGCACGTGAGTTTGTCGTCGCTTTCTCTCTCTCTCTCTCTCTCTCTCTCTCTCACTCTTGAATTGCTCCCATCTTATATATATTATTACTCTTCATGGAATATGTTTAAGTCTCAAAAATCCTTCAAGAAAAGGTTGATATTAGTTAGAACATACATATATCGCTATCAATCGATAGTCAATAATCTATTGTCTTAAACTCAGCACTAACTTTTAGTATATCTTCAACAGAGTAGAGAGATTTCACATCAAAAATAATAAATACCTTTGGAGCTATCATTACTTTCTCAAACATCGTAGATTTTAACGATAGTCATTTTCTTGAAAACAACTCCTCTTCCTTTTTCTTTAGAAGATTTTTTTTATTTTTTATTTTTCTTAGATGGTGTCCATTTTCACCATGACGCTTGTCGTTTTCATCCATTGCCTTCACCCTTACTCTCATTCATCACTATCGTCATTATTGAGATACTATTAAGGCCAATCATGAGGCTCTCAGAGTGATTTTATAATTATTATCCTCTCATTGTAAGTATCGACTCCATCTTCTATCATCAGTAGTGCAATGTCATCAATCTTCCCCGTCGTCATTGGTAATGGAGATGTCAAGGAGAGCGAGGGCCTCATGATAGGGTCTTAGCGATTCCTTGATAGAAACGAATGAGAGTGAGAGCGAGGGTGGAGGTGACGAACGAGGACACGATGATAGTAGTGAACATGGGCCTTAGCGATGAATGAGGACGAGAGCATACTCGAGAACAAGGGTAGATACAATAGATGAGGGCACGATAGTAAATATCAACAAGAGCCTTAGCGACGACAATGACAAACAAATGCAAGTGCAAAGGCGACGGGTGATGAACGACGACGATGACGAGGGGACATCCCGAGTATTACAAAAATAAAAGGTTTTTTTTCAACGTAATCGCCTTTTAACGATGTGCATATAAAAGCAACAGTTCAGAATCAAGATAGCTGCGTGATGGGTCCCATCTGACATGGATCAGAAGCGTCGGAGGCATCAGGAAACGATTAATTAGTGGATAAAGGCAGAGCATCCAACTATGTAGATTGTACCGTAAATGGGTCTCACCTACATGTCCAACTGGCTGGGCCACACCCGTGTCAGTAGTCCCCCAACAAACACATCAAATATCACACCACCTCCCGTTCTACTTATAATAAGCCAGACTTGTCGATGGCCTCTCGTACAACCCGCCACTGTGGAACCAACATGGCAACAACAGCCCCGCAACAAAACCCCGCTCTCTCCCCTGTCCCTCCCTCTTTCTCTTCCCTTTCTCCTCTCGCCCCCCACCTCCAACTATCCTCTCTACTCGACACCTTCCCGAGCTGTCACCGCCATCAACAAAACACCAAACAGACGAGGAAAGCAGCAGCAGCTGCTGCATCGACATTGCACGCTCGCACACCCTCAAACCGGAGGAATCGCGTGGGCTCCGCCACGGCGAGACGATGCCTTCCCCGCGCGTGTGGTTGCGGCTGCCAGCGGAGCCCAACTACGATGTGATGCATCGGACAACGGACACTCCCTATTTAATTAATCAATTTAAAACGATTAAGAGTTTAGAATAATGAATTTGACTGAATTGATATCTTTTAAATTAAAAATCAATTCGACTCGATTAATCAAATAAAAAAAGATATTTTGAATCAGAATTATTTATACTATTTAAAATTAAATTATTAGTGAATCGATTCGAATCAAATTAATTTAATTATAATTTGACTGTTTTAATACGTTTGTGATCTAAATAGGCCACACAAAATTAAAATTAAGACGAACCGTATCCTCGAATACAAAGAAACGTTGGGGTTGCCAATAGTACGGATCGCTTGACTCAAATGTCAAGTATCAAATTCATCTTTCCCTAATATACTATCAAATGTTATTTACATCAAATCTGAGTCTATTAATGCGAATCACATTTTACATGGACCCAACTTGAGAAGCATAACTCACAGCTGCCTCGAGACATTTTCTCATCATGATCACATTATATATATATATATATATATATATATATATATATATATATATATATATATATATATATATATATATATATATTAACGATACAAGTATTTTAGCTATGTTATACTCCGTACACGCTTCTTTATACGCCCTCCGGATTTGTACGAAATTGAAAGTTACACAAGTCTCGCAAGAAAAAGAACAAAAATAAGAGGAAGACCGGTCAGGTTCGGGTCACCGCCTCCACGAGCTTCTCGACCTTATGGGCGATCGACGGGGGTAGCTTCACCGGTGGGCGGAGATCCCTCCCCTGCCGCTGCCCAATGTCGAGCCCTAGAGCGTCTGAGACTTCGTCGGGGCTCCAACCCGCACGGCGGAGCAAGTCGGAGCACCGGTCCGCCTTTATGAGTACCGCGTCGAGCACCGCGTCAGCGTCGATGGGTCCGGCCGCTGCCGCGGGCTCGTCGCCGCCGTTGAATATTCCCAGCGCCGGCACGTGGACCATCTCCCTGATGTCCGATTCGCTCCACCCGCCTTGCCTCAGGACGGATCCGATGCCATCCAGGTAGCTCCTGACCCACTCAGGCAACTTCCGCGCCCGGATCTCCAAGAACCGCTCGGTATCCGGCGGAGGCGAGGACGAGGATGAGGAAGCCGTCTCGGAAGCGGAGGAGGAGGACGACGACGAAGAAGAGTTGCGGCGGCGATGGTCGGTGGCGGCGTCGCTCCAGAACTCGATCCAGCGGGGGCTAATGCCGGCGGCGGAGGTGGCGTGGAGGATCCGTAAGTGGGACGAGGGCTCCGGGTACCGAAGGACGGCGGAGTGGCGCTGGAAGAAGTCGGCCAGGTCGAGCGCACAGCAGAAGACGCGGGCTTCGTCGACGTAGAAAACGGGGTTCCCGGCGAGGGAGGGAAAACAGGGGATGTAGCAACGACCGAAGAGCGGGAGGAGGAGCGGTGCGCGGCAGAGAGCGGCACGGGCACGGCGGATGGCGCGGGAGGGGTCAGCAGGGCGGCGGCCCCAGGAGCGGGGCCAGAGGGCGCCGCTGGCGACCTGGACGGTGGCGGCGGCGACTGGGAGGCGGAGAAGGGTGGGGCTAGGGGCGCGCCAGTCAGGGAAGCCGGAGCCGGAGGGAACGGCAAGAGCAAGGATGGCGCGGAGGTCCGGGGGGAAGCAGAAGGCGAGGTCGGCCTCAAGCCGGGCGAGCTCTGCCTCGGAGAGGCCAGGACGGAGGGGGACGAAAGCGGCGCGGAGGTGGGCGAGGACGGCCTCAGCAAGGGGGCGAAGGGAGAGAAGTCCAAGGCGGCGGGACGAGGAGGCATGGACTGTGGCGGCGGCGCGGGCGGAGAGACGGCGGAGGCCCGCGGCGTGGGACGGTGACAGGGCCGCCATCCGACGGTCGACATCCGCCATGGTACGTAACTCGGGTGAGCACGCAATGGCGATCTGCAAAGCGGCGATTATTTGGGATGCGGAAATAATGGTTAGGAGAAGGGCCTTGTGAAGGTGGGAGAGGAGGAGGTGGAGGAAAGAGAAGGGGTGGTGAGGGTGGGCGTTATATAGGCTTTAATAGGAGGGCGAGGGAGGTGTGAGCACAGTAGGGGAAAGAGTGAGTTGGGAGTTAGCGACCGTGAGAGGTGCATTGCATCGCGTTCCTACAGATCCGGACTTCGATTTGGAAGCACTGCCGTCCCACAATTAACCTCTAATCTCTAATATATGAATATTACTACCTAAACAAGGTAAGCAGATGCGTTATTCTTGACATTCCAAAATTATCCTTGTGAATTCAATCTTTTGCCCACATGCATCCCAAATGCTTAAAGAAAAAAAAGATATTAACGTAAAATTTGAAATGTAATTTATTCGATTTATTAAGTCTTTGTTGGGTTATCCTACTGGATAGAAAATTATTGCATAAGTAATAAGTCTTACGATCCAATTCATATTTGAGCATTACATATGTTTTCTAATGCGATAAAAAAAATTAATTAATTAAAATTATTTTGATCGATCAAATATTTTTTTAAACTTTACTGTTTATAATACTTACTATGTATTAGTCTCATATTGATTGATGAGTATGAAAACCAAAGACTCGTTGATCTGGGTTTTGATAAGAGGTAGGATCAAACTTTCTAATTTAAAGAATCAAATATTAGAACGGGTGTTATTTCTTTATTCTTCTTCTTTATGGCCGCATACGAGAAAGGAGATCTGATGGTGTCACAAGGAAACCAGCCAATTAATTTACTTGGATTAGGGAATCTGTTCAGAGTTAATTCACATTCCTTTCTTCAAGAACAGTGTGAAGCAGTCGGCAGAAGCAACCGATGAAGGGTGCAGTAAATGGATAGATTCCTTCAACTCACCGCCCTCATGTTTGAATGCGTACGTACGTAGCATGGGGACCGAGCCAACCCCGCCGCTTGGAACGTGGATTCACGTGTGGTAACTTCGATGATTGCCGTTCTAATAATATACTTTGCTTGCTAAGAGGAGAAGTTTGGTAAGGATGATGAAGGGTGATGGCTATTTAATTGGTGCGTACTGTTTCTTTAATCATAGTTTTAGAAGTTTAATGAAAGGCATGATATGAGGAATACATTATTGAGGCCATTAATTGTTTACCGCATTTGCTGCATAGAGACTTCCAAATGTAATTAGAGAGATATGATCCATTTAGAATATAATACATTTGGTCGAGTAGGCAATGGGTAACCTCTAAGAAGATGGAATCTGACGCAAACTACAACAAATAATACAATTAAAAGGGCGGCTAAATGCATGTGATGCTTATTAATACAATGTATAGATTGGAGTCACATACGTATGCTTGTTTATCACCGAGAAAACAATGGTTATTTTCATGACTTTGAGTTATTAATATTTTATTTTGTATTTGCATTAAAAAAAACCTCAATTTAATTGATTTATTAATAAAATAAAATTAATTAATTTATTGTCGGTCGTAAGCATGGGAGAGGTTGCGTGCATATGACGTCCTACTAGGCAGCAATAGCTCGGTGCTGCTATTGGTGGTCGCTTTTGCGACTACATCTCCTTCCGCCATGATAATTATCTTAGTTTTTCTAACTTAAATTATATGTGTCATTATATTAATGATTTATTATGAGTCACATATCACGTAAGTAGTCTTTGACATCTATTAACTCGGTCTTAACATGAAGGGCTTATATACTACATTTTTAAAAGTGTAGAGGTTAGACACGAGTACACTAAAATGATTTAAGAGATCCATGATCGAAATCACATGAGCTAAAATGGACTTTAGTCATAAATTACATATGTCATTATATTAATGGTTTATTATGAGTCAACATACCACGTAAGCAGACTCTAACATTTGTTAACTTAAATTTGACAAGAGGTACTTATATGTTATATTTTTAAAAATATAATGATTATTTTATACATAAGTAAACCATAAGGTTTTAATAAATCTATGACCAAAATCACATGGTTAAAATAGACCTTTAACCTTGAAAAAAAATATATACTCGTCCTATATCAATTAGAAATATATTTGAGCGTTTAGAAGATGTCATGCAAACTTGAAATAGTAGTTAATAGCTCGAAGGACACCGGAAGCTTTGAGTTGTCGTCTATATATACATTAGTCTAGTTTAGAGATTATGTGATTTTGTAGAGCTGTTATGGTGGATTGGATTTAAAAGACGAGAGGAGGAAGAAGATGCACTATCAATCATTTATGGCAGCATAAATTGTTTGGAAAACCTCGACCGATAAAAATGATACAACTGTGTTCGTGAAAATGTCTGCAATCTTGCGTGGGTGGGGAACTTTATTCTGCAGCTTACTTTAGTCTTCCACCTAAAGGTCTAAAAGCAAACTCGATCCTTCAAATGTCAAGACACAAAGAGATCGATGAACGATGGCACATCGGGATCCTAATGCACAGAAAAATGTCCTTAGTTTGGTCATCCCACCAGAGTAGAATGAACTGTACTTACAATTTGTGCTACAAGAAAGTTGAGCTAATTGAAGTTTTTGGTAGCCATACGTGGTAGACATGCAAGATAGAACCTTCTAAAAATACAGTAGTGATGATGCCAAGAGTCCATAAACTTCGTCTCTTTGCTCCACTTCTTTAGCCATTGTTCTTTGGCATCAGCATTGCATTAATTGCTTGTGAAATCTCCATGAACATTCCTAGCATCCAGCAAACCCTGTAGACTTTCAAGAATATATACCTTCTCCACCTTGCTAATGCCATTTTTAGTACAGGTTAAGCGTAGGAGAACATGAAGCCTATGGCCCTATTAGAGGTGCAATGGAGCAGGGCTGTTCGCATCCAATGAGACTTGGACGTGGGAAAGAGAGATCAAAGAGAAAGGAAGATGCCAACTTACTTTTAGGTGGCTGCTGATAGGTTAAAGGAGAGTTGTGTGCCCGTGTGGTGCTCCAAAATGGTACCTTTCGCCTTTTGTCATGCTCACGGAAGAGAAGCTTCTTTCTTCTCTGTGCTATAGAACATGAGCAAGAAGTATGTGTGATACTAATATTCGAAGATCAAATATGTTATTCCCAAACTTTGAAAGAATAGATATGTAAAACCCCCTTTACAAGTTTTACAGAAATAATAAACAATGACTGTTGTTCAATTGTTCATCTTATTTTTCATCACAGAATATTTAATAGTTATTGGCGTATCGCTGCTATCTTCTCTCCTAATCTGAGATCTTAATACCAAGGAAAAAATCTTCACAGTGCCTCACAAAAGGAACCACCGATCCTTTGTCAACTTTCCTTCTCGTTTTGCAGTCGTAAGACGGAGGAAAATGGAAACATGGCTCCGCCGACATGGAACGGACGCAAGAAGGATTCCGGTTGTCAGACCTCACCAGAATCCACGGCCTCAATCCTCCGAGACCGTGCGCCACGTACCCGAAGGTCGAGAACGGACTGGTGATCAGTTCATCGCTCAAGCTCAGGAGGTAGATCTCCGCAAAGGCCTTCATGTTGTGACTTAGCTTCTCCGTGTGCTGGTGCTCTTCGTGGCTCGGTTGGTAGACGCCGATCACCTCGCCGGTGGTGGTTGCATGCTCGTAGTACATGTTTCTGAGCTTCTCGAAGTAACCATCGAGCAAACTGGTCACCAGAACAGCTTTCGGCTGTGCCCCAGCGATAACGGGTGGAGCAGAATCCTTCAGATCAACCTCCGGCAGCAACTTTTGGGTCATCGAGCAGTTGATGATCTGACTTGCCATGACGTCGAACTCCACATTTGCGAACGCAAATATCCTGATTTGGATCCCCAACTTCGCCTTTGCACTTGCAAGGTAGGCGTCGTAGTACCTTGTTATGTAGCCCCAGACCGAGTTCGATGGATTGAAGAGATACCTTCCCAAATGGCGGAAGACGGTGGCCTTCTCCGGAAAGAGCAGACCGAGTTCTTCTTCGAACTCCGGGACGAAGAAGAATGCCGGAACAAAATATTCATTAGATCTTAGCAGCAGCCAGGGGAACTTCCGCAGAAGTCTCTGACCCTCCTCGCAGTAGAACATCTTATCGTACTCATCGTTAGCATGCAGCAGGTGAAGATAGAGGTAAGCCGGCAGCGAAGAAGCATCTGCAATGTCCATGTCATTGCTAAGAACCTCGCTCTTTAGCATGTTTCCGTAGCTATGAGGGTCTTTCTCGAAGATCCAGTTGCGATTGTCGATGGGGAAATCTGCAGGAAGAACCCATGAAGTGTCGGGGAACGGCTCGCAGAAGAGGTCACCCATGTCATGGGGAAGGTCGAGCAGCAAGACCTTGTCGTTGAGGAGGGCGTAGAGGAACGCGGAGGTGATGCTTATGATCCTGTTCCCCAAGCCGTCGGCCGGCAGCCACACCACATAGTTGCACTCCGACGGGCCTGTGCTGCGATTGGACTTCAACTGCTCGACGGCCTTCTTGTAGAGCTCGGTGTTGGGGCCGCATCTTTTATGGAGGGTTTCGTACCTTCGGAGCCGGTCGATGAGGTAGGGGGAAGGAGTGTCGTTCGATGGCTTCCGGTACAACGACGACTGAGATCGGCTGAGGCAGGAAGCTTCGTCGAATGCAGCGGAGAGCAGACCTCCTCCAAGAAACTTGTCCTTTGGTGGTTCAGCGGCCGGAGAAGGGGCGGTACAGCTCCCGTTGGCGACTGAACTTTGAACAGTGCACTCACATCAGTAAAAGTACATGATGGCTGCTCTGTAAACTATGTGGGTTCAAACATGAATTCGATAACCAGCTTTGACATTTCGTTCCATAAAAATTATAGGGAAAATACTGTACAGTTAAAGGCTCTATAAAAGTCAAGAATTGACCGAGTCTCATCTACTCCACTTGGGATGATCAAATTCTACTAGGATCAAGAATGTCATTGTAGTTTTTAGAGTTAATCTTGGAATGGCTTCACATTTTTATTTGGAGTCGGCTCAGTATTCAAAGTCTAATAAATACTTTTCAAACCAACCTTATATTATTGGATTTCTAGAATCTTATAGCAATGGATTTTGTGACAATGTGGGCTTGACTTTTCTTTTCTCAACTTTTGTAATTATGTGTCTCTCTTTGGTTTTTCTTCTCCGTCCCCCTCTCTTCTTTTTTTGGCCTCGAAGGGTATCTTTCCCTATACCTTGATAAGCTTTGTCATTTAGGAAACCCAGAGTTCTTCAATATACAAACATATTGCAAATCATTGAAGGTAAAAGAGTTGCCTTATACAAACATATTGCATATCTTTCTTTCTTGATACCGTTCTTCGTCACAAAGAAAGAAAGAAAAATGAAATGTCAACCGAAAAGAAGCAGAGGAAATTGATGCAAAATGATCAGAAGAGCCAAAAGGTCTCACCTTGCTTTGATGGTGAGCGGCTTGAAAGAAGCACGCCAAGTGACGAACTGCGATGGGCTCCGGACAACACAACCAGGAGCAGAACAAGCGTGAACAGGGCAACCACCAGAACGGGCCTCGTGACGCCATAGCCAACAGCTCTCCGAAACAGGCCTGCGGAACCCCCCTCGTTCTCCGGCTGAATCGGTGGCGCTTCGCAGGGCAGAGGCTGCCTTCGCATCTGCTTCGTCTCCATCACCTCTTCCGGCAGACTATACCTTTAGGCGATACTCGAGAAAAGATCAACATGATTCAGCGTTTAAATACGTCAGAACGTCTTCCTCTCACGACAGTGACCATCTTCTTGCGATCACAAATGATATGGATCTTGATTTGCTGGCCTAATGCAGCGGCGGCTCCAGTTTTACCTGTCCTGGTTGCCATCTCGACGATATACTTTTCTTTAATCTGTTGTTCTCAAAGCTCAGACAGACGCAACAGCGACCCCTCTCGAACACCCTCTCATTAATGTTCCTGCCACACAACGCTGACCGGAGCACGCGAATAGACCTACACATCAAGTTGGTGCCAAGGTTTAGAATGCGTGATCTACGTCCGTGATTGCTTAAAATATAAGTAGAGATTTGATATACGTCGTGTGATGAATCCTGAGGGGCACAAACCATCGTTCTTTATTGGAAGAAGCAGGAGAATCTGACATTGTCAACGCCGGGTGGTTGGGAGGTCGGTGTTGTGTGAATACAATAACCCAAAGGTTTCACATCACCTTAATAATTGAAGTAAGCTGTTTCGAGCACAGCATTTCGTGGCTTTTCCTTCCGGTTTTAGTTTTCTTTTGTAGCCACCATCTTCATGATTAAGGCTGAGAAAGAACCCTTTGTACGTTATTGACCCAATCAAAGTTAAACCAATTTAATCGACATAAATCTTGCGTTGTATATCATGGAAGTTTCAGCTAGACTTGGGATCACTATGGTTGGACGTCGTGCTCCAAGATTAGTCTTCGAGTCTGTCTTAGGTGGTATGGGAGTAGGTTGAGGACACCAAAGCAACACAGAGACCAACAAAGCCATGTGGGAGGAAGTGCGGTCTTCCTTTGTATGTATAATGACAAGGATGATCGTAACATGGAGATGGCCCCGTAGGTATCTTACACATGCAGCTATCTAACGTCTCAAAATGTAGCTTACAGATCATCTACGACAATATTTATATGGGTAGAGGAACTGAACATAAACACCTTTTCATGTGAAGCTGACTTGATGGATAACTTACATGCTTTTGTAGTTTTACCCCTATATATATATATATATACACACACACACAAAATCTTTTTTCCTCTCTTGAATGTTTCTGTAGGTTTTACCATAAAAATTTGATAGAATAACACTCTATCACAAAGGATAGATGAGAGCTGATAAGAGTAGAATGAGTGATGAAGATTTGGAGAGTTGGAGGTAAAATGTATTGAGTAGTATATAATTTTTCATGGTTGATAATATTCTTTGGAAAACTAAGAAAGAGGAGTTCATCCACAGTAGACACGAACACGCACCATAGTCATATCCATTTTGCTTGTAGTAAGAGTTACATTTAAAGCTTAAGAGCTTAGCATAGCCACATAAAGCACTCCAAACTTACTGATAGACTTCCTTCTCTCTAATTAACGCTGATGTTCCAGTTCTTCTGCGCATAACTCAACAGCTTCACCATTTCGTTGTCGCCGTCGATGACGCCATTCTTGTTGAGATCACATTTTCTCATCGCAAACCATGTCCTGAATCTCGTGAAATGTAGACCTGAGGCCTTGAGAGCGTTGCGGAGCTCATCCTTGCTTAAGAATCCGTCCTTGTTCTCGTCAGCTCTTTCCAGGAGATCCAAGAACTCACGTTGCCCCATGCTGATCGTTGGCATAATATACATGTTGGAAGCTGAAAGATTAGAGCTAAAGATATGGTGTGCTGTAATCAGCTCGGCATGCATGGAACCTATTTATAGAGCTCCACCCTCATGTTGCATCCTTATCTCTCAGAAAGGAATCACCGAAAGCTAAGCTTAACGATGAAGTCTTGTTCTTATTCTTTCTGTCGTACCCACCATCCTTATTCTCCACATGTTCAGTGGCACAAGTTGCATGCAATGTGCTTCAAACAAAAGAGGGAAGATCCTTGTCGAAAAATTTCTCATAGCAATACAGCAGTTCAAAGCAATTTGCAGAAGAGATGCCTTGAGGCCATTACACTTCCAAGTGTACACCAAGGCATCACATTAACTGAATAGCTCAGTGACCATTATCCAAAGAAGATAATGCATGATGCGTGGCAGCATAAAGCCATTAGAACTGACAGGAGGAATCAACAATGGGCGTTATCCAAAGCCAAGAATACTTGGCCCATCTGTGACATCAAATAATTGGCATTTATATGCTTGACCACCACCATATCAAGAATAAGATATGCTGGGATAAAGGTAGGAGGTAGACTGGAGGAATCAGCACTGTGCATCATACAAAATGGAGGAGAAAGGAGTATATGGACCCCAATAAATCCGAATACTGCCATCTGCGGACCTCATAAGGTCCCACAACGATCACACCAAATAGCATACGTTACTGTTGTTTGTAATCAGCATATTGCAAAGATCTTTCCTGCAACTTTGTTTTGTTTTCTTTATTGTTGTGTGCAGTAGTAGAAAGCTCCTAAAACTAACATTATGTGCTTATCCAAAATATTTACACCTAAAAATATACATGTACTTAAATATAGACATCTTTTATGGCACTATGTTATTAAGACTATAATCACGAAAGGAGGTTGAAAATTGTAGAAATAGTCTCATACTATTCAGGATTGAAAGAATTAGATAACATATATCGGGTTTGACCCACACTTTAATGAACTTCAATTTTTAGATTGAATTGATATTTGATCTAATGTATATCAACTTTGATCAATCACTCATTTTGTTGATAAAGCCTACCCTAACATTTCTTCCTGGAAGAAATATTTTTTTAATTACTACTCTTTGAATTATATATATACATATATCAACTAATATTAAATTACAAGTTGTGTATTCATTTGCTTTATGATCAAATGTCTGAAACCCTCAATAAAAAAGGTAAATGGTTGTGTTAAATTACTGCCTATGAGTAATGAAATTATTAATATTACGAGAAGACGTCGAGGGAGATTTAAGAAGGTTTTATTAAAAATTATAAATAAAAAATTAATACTCTTATCCTAATAGAGTACTATGCGATAATGTTCACTCATGACAAGGAAATGCAGGTTCAAGTTTCTTTGCAAAGAGAAGCGAGAGGTCTTCATCCAGTGGAGACACATGCACGCATCATTTCCTTGACAACTATCACTTCATTCACATTCTGCTATCAGCAAGAGTTACATCCAAAGCTTTAGACGACCAGAAGAGAGAACTCCAAACCGAGAGACCCTTCTCCTGTCTACATAACGAGGACGTTCCATTTCTGATTCGCATAACTCAAAAGCGACGCCATTTCCTTGTCGCCCTCGATGACACCATTCCGGTTGTGGTCACATTTCCTCATCGCCAACCATGCCTTGACTGTTGTGAACCGGAGACCTGCGGCCTTGAGAGCGTTGCGGAGCTCATCCCTGCTTATGCGTCCATCCTTGTTCTCGTCAGCTCTTTCCAGGAAATCCAGGAACCTGTCTCGCCCCATGATCACAGGCATAAAATACATGTTGTGAAGCTGCGAGATTGGAGCTAACTATATGGTGTGCAATGGGCTAAATGGTGTGCTGTGATCAGCTCGGCAGGAATGCAACGTATATATATATAGAGCTCCACCCAACCTGATGTTCATCCTTATCTCATGAAGGAATCGCCAAACGCTGAGCTTCATGATGAATCGTATTCTTATTCTTACTATACCATATTAGTGGCACAAGTTGCGGCACAGTCTGAGAAGAGTTCACTGAATTCATCCAAGCAATTCACCTTACAGTCGAAGCCACCACCTGAAGGCTACTTCAAATTCACAACGATGCATCCTGCGGAGCAGCAATTGAACAACATTGTTGACTGAGTCAAAATTTTGAAATGGTCAAGACAAAGATAGAAAGATCAATGGTAGTCAATATATCCTAATAATAAATTACTTCTTTCAGAAGCTCATCGATACCAATCGCTAAAATCACAGGAAGAAGATAAGGTTGCATAATAAATGCTCATCAGAAGTGCAGGAAGGGCCCCAATATGTCTCTTTCTCAAAATTCCCCACCACAACGTACGCATATACTTAGGCTATTCATTAAGGTTAGTTTGCTATTATTTGTCCATCAACATCATGCATCAGTTAATTCATTCTGCGGTATATCAACTTTCCCACACTGTCTGTCTCCTAATAAATGCTTTCCTGAGCTTGTAGAGCCGAATGCAATGCACTGTTATGTTGCGTTCACGTATGTCAGTGGTAGTACTGTTTTCTTCTTCTGCATGAAGTACTCATCGTTGTAAGTACGTGAACGTGACCATAATTTTCTTCCATAGGATTAAGCTTCCAGTCAAAATAACTCTACCCTATCACCCAAGTGCCGCAGGTGAAATGGCCACACTGCATGCATCTTTAGCTTTCCATGAACACGGGATGGAGTGAGGGAGAAACAAGACAAGTACATATCTGCCCAGACATTCGTGAGGCTCTCTCCACGTACACGTACGAGTCCATGCAAGCATATGCCTCTCGAGCATTTCACGTCACTGTATGCCTCAAACTCCCACCTCATCCACCTTTCTAAAAGATTCTTGAGGCACGCTTCTTCTTTTGTCACCACACTCGACACGACCTTCACAAAAATATTCCAAGTAAATATATTATTACAGAGATAACAATGCTCTTTGTGGACATCCAAAGTATATTATCACAGAGTCCATTTCGAAGAAGAGATGCCTATACTATTACTCCTTCAAGGGTACACCAAGGCATCATGTTGGCTGGTAATTATCTCGACATAAACTTAATAGAACTGACAGGAGAAATCATTCATGCCCATAGCATCAAATAATTGGCATTTGCGGACATCACAAGTTAGTGCACTAAGGCATTCATTCGAATGAATGCTAACTTTGACCGTGCCAGCATCTCAGGAGGAAGATGTGATGCGATAATTTTCATAGATGGACAGAAGGAATCACCATAGTCATCAGACATATTAGAGAGGAATGTGTGGACCCATGGCATCCAATTATTGACATTTGTGGACCTCACAGGGTCCCACCACTGGGCCACGTGATCATATGCCGGAATCCTAATCAAATTGGCTTTACACAAACTCACCACCTTGGACCGATCTTCTTCGTTTAAAGACGGAGTTCAGTGTCCTTTGCTGCTTGAGCACCATAAAACAGCCAAGAAACTTCAGTATTTGGGGGGGGTAAAGGACACATCACCCAGTAACCATTCATGCTTAGGGTCTGCCCTGCACCATC